TAGGTTGAATAATCCTAATCTGAAATCCAGAAATGCTTCATGTGCTACCATGATGCTCAAAAAGTTTCAAATGTTTGGATGAGGGACAATCAACTGGTAAAATCTTTGGATATATTCCAAAATTTAAAAGCTCTAAAATCCGAAACACTATTTGTCCTAACAATTTTAGAAAAACGGATACTAAGCCTTTATAACTTTCAGTTCTACATTTGTATTGTCATGTGATCATAAAGAGGGTAATTTTATTTGAAGGGTTCATCTATTTCTCCACCTCTAAGGTCCATTTAAAAGTTTTCATACTGGTCCGCCATCGTCACGTACACTTATCATCCTAGTTACGTGTGAGGTTCACAACTTGAGGCCACCCTGTGCAATTAGTGAGACTGTGTCTCAAAAGAATAGGAAGAGCTGGAGATGTATCTCTGACAGAGCACATCTGCATTCCATTCTCTGTCACCATGAAAGAAAATTCTATACTAAAATTATTTTCTGGGGCTGGAGAGATGGCTCAGTGGTCTAAAGCACCCACTTGGAACAAGCTTGGCAAAGCACAGGGACCGCAGTTCGATTCCCCAGCACCACATGCCAGCCAGCCGCGCCCCCTGGTGGGCTGAGCTGGCCACACACACACACACACACACACACAATAAATAAAAATGTTAAAACAATTATAAAAAAAAAAAATTATTTTCTGAAAAGCTTATCTTATATTATTAGATCCTTACTTGTTGAGTTAGTAAGCGGCCTTACTTTGTGTTCTGCCTGTGCATAACTTAGAATTTTAATCACCCTCATAAAAATCTGTATCTTCCTCAAGATTTTTAATTTCATTTCTCCATTTCTGAAATCAATATGTACTATATTAGCTACAAAAAGTTCAATAATCACTAATGTTGAGAGTGCAGGGACAGACTGCAGCATTATCCAGGAAATGGTGAGTGAAGGTGACCATTTTTTACTGGATATTTTCGAGTTATAACATTTATTTTCCTTTGAAGTCTTATAAATATGGGATTTCAGGTAAGAATGTATAAAGAGCACTTCTAGTCCATCTCTGCCATTCCAGTAAAAACATTTTAAGAAACTGGCTAAAGAGACTCTTACTGGGAAACTCTTTTCTTTTCCTCACATCTTCAATGCATTGCTGTGTGTAGAGGTATTCTAATAATAAATTACTTTGATTTTAGTATGTCACAGTTACCAATGGCCAAGTCTGTCCATATGAGCATTTCAGCAGTGTCAGCATTCCACCTAACACACTTGAAATTACTTCCATTTGCCACTGTTTAATTCTTAACCTCACCTAGCCAAAGTTTTAAAGCCCCAAACATCAAGAGATATTCTGTGAATTATGCAGTTAGACAGGACAGCTATACCTTGTACAGAACTCTGAACTGAATCAGTAGTTTCCAAATCCTGAAATATGGTTGCTTAGACAACTTGGCTGCATCACATTCAAAGGAAAAAACATTTTTAAAAAATTAAAAAGGAAAAAACCCACTCCTGATTCATCTGGTCTAAATTCTGTATCTACCTCCCTCTCCCTCTTCTCATCTTACATAATGTATTAATAATACTTAATTTTATTTCTCAGTATATGTTTTAGGATATTAAGGTAGCAGTATTATTACTTAGAAAAAAAATTTTTTCTTCTGGAACCAGGGATTGAACTCAGGCCCTTGTTCTTGCCAGGCAAGTGCTTGTTCTACTGAGCCATCTCCCTGACGCCTTTACTTAGAAAAATTAACATCACTCAAAGACAAAGAGGGGATTTAGTATCTTCTTCCTAGCAAACCATTAGCATGTTAATGTTGCAGCCAGCTGAGTTAGATAGATGTATTATAGGAAGTGAGACAGCGCTAAGCCCTCAATGGACCCAATATGGAAAGCCAAGAAACCCTGCAACTGAGGGAGAGACGGGCACTCCCTCTGTGGGCCAAACCTCAAGACAAAATATTAAACAAATGCAGCCACTTATCTCACTAGAGATGGACATCAGGGATTGATATTCTAAATAGGTTATCTTTCACCTTGAAAAAGCCAGGAAGTGTCACTAATCCAACCCCCTACAGGAAAAGCCCCTGTTCTATACCCATGCCCACTTGCTACATGACTTGATTCTCCATTTGCCCCCAATTTAATCAATGTTACCTGAGCAGTTGTGCTTATAATCTTATTGGTTGACCATAGTTTTGTCCCACTTCCTGCCCACGTAATCAGTTCCCATGTTTCCCACTTAGACCTGCCTCACGTTGTGGTTTTGCTCTATAAAAATTTGTAGAAAAGACAGGTTCCTTGGTAACCCTCTTCTGGATACATTCTTCAAGAAAACTTTCTTAATCATTAGAATTATTAGAATAATTCTTGGCCAGAGCCGCTGACTGGAACCACTGGTGGGGCATGATGGTGGTGGGCACTGGCACCTCGCTGGCGCTGTCCTCCCTCCTGTCCCTGCTGCTCTTCACCAGGATGCAGATGTACAGCCGCCAGCTGGCCTCCACAGAGTGGCTCACCATCCAGGGCGGCCTGCTGGGCTCTGGCCTCTTCATCTTCTTGTTATGGGTCACTCAGAATAGGAACCAGATCAGCCAGGTTGGAATTTGGAAAGCCGTTTATTACTGAGCTCAGGGCCCCCCAGTCTGCTCTCACGCAGGTGAGGACTGAAAGGCGGCAGACCAGGAAGCAGGAAGGGGTTTTAAACCTTGGAATCACATTGTGTTTGATAAGCAAATTTACTGTCTGACACAAAATAAAGCTTTTAGAGTGATTGGGACCAGGACTTAAACTACATTTCCTGGGGCTTTTGTTTCAGTTTCTGGTTAATTTGCACCTGAGTACCTGCAGGCAGCCTTGCATAGCCTGAAGGTTACAAGGAGTTAGAAGTCTTTGTTTCCTTTTAAAGTTATGTCTGTAATCTAACTTTGTTTAAAGGAATTGGTGAGTTTTATCTAGCAAACTACAGGTAACAGCCACTATTTACTAAACAATCTAAAACAATGGGTGGGTATGCATTTATAACAGAAAGCACAAGATTCACACCCATATAGCCTAAAATGTGAGTTAACCCATTACATTCTCTCTCACGGCCTTCAATAATCTGGAGAACCTGGTCTTTGGCAAAGGATTCCAAGCAAAGATCTTCCCAGAGATTCTCTTGTGCCTCCTGTTGGCTCTCTTTGTGTCTGGCCTCATCCACCGAGTCTGTGTAACCACCTGCTTCATCTTCTCCATGGTCGGTCTGTACTACATCAGCAAGATCTCCTCTACCCTGTACCAGGCAACAGCTCCAGTCCTCACGCCAGCCAAGGTCACTGGCAAGGGCAAGAAAAGGAACTAACAATGTCCAATAAAGTTTTTGTACTTCTGTGAGTTATGATAAAAAAAAAAAGAATTATTAGAATACTTTTCTATCATTCTTTGAAAAAGAATTGCCCCTATGACCCTCATAGTAAACTAAACAAACACATTACAAGAAAACAGCCAGTGTGCCTCAAGAACACAAATACTTTTAGCAAATCAAATCCACTAACCTGTAAAATGGATAATATATCATGATATCATGCCATATCATGAGCAAGCAGGACTTACCACAGGTATGTAAATTTCATTTAACATTGAAACCTTAGCCAGGCATGGTGGCACGCGCCTGTAATCCCAGCACTGGGGAGGCTGAAAACAGGAGGATCACTATGAATCTGAGCTGCATAGTGAGACCCTGAACCAAATGCATAAAATTAAAAACAAAAAAAAGCCAATGTATGTAAATATAAGGATTTAGCTGGATTTGTGTGAATGTTAATAGTAATATATGAACATGACTGGATTAAGAAATGCCAAGCAGACTTGGAAAGCACACTTCTAGATATGTCTGGGTGGATCCAGGGGACATGAATATATGGCCCTTGGCTCCTGGCCCCTTTTTCTGTGGCTGTGTTCCCCTGCTTTGCTTCCAAGCTTTGATCCACCATACCCTTTCACCATGATGTTTCTTCCTTGGTAACATCATGAGTTGCTGAAGAAGTCTGAATATCTCAGGTTACATTGCAAGGCCATCAGTTACACAACGCAGTAGAGTGCCCTCAAGTTGCATTGCAAGGCCCTCTCTGGACACAACACAAAGGGAGGAATGTTCTGTGCTCAGGTTTGCCAGAGATGTCCTTTGGGTTTTGCTGGCATCCTTAGCAGGCTTTTGTTTAAAATTTTAATTCCCTTTCACTCTGATCCATCTGCATTTCAGGCCCTTTTTCCTGTCTGGATCTTTTAAGAGTATTGTACTGGCAAACATACTTAGAAAGAGATTTCCTGTCTTTTTAAAGTGCAAATTGCTTTCATTTCCCAGTAATTCAGGGACTAATTACAGAGCATCACTTATTTCTAGGGCAGCAGTTTTTGTTTTTGTTTTTGTTTTTTTAGACAGGGTTTCAATATGTAGTCCAGGCTGGCTTTGAGTTCACTATGTAGGCCAAGCTGACCTCCAACTCAGGGAGATCCTCCTGCCTTAACGTCCCGAGGTTTAGAGGCCTTGATTGTCTCACCGCAGGTTTAGGGCAGTGGTTCTTAAAGTGTGGTCGCACAACAAGCAACATAAGGCCATCTGAGAACCTGGGTGGCCAGCCCTGACCTACTGAGACACAAACCCTGGGACTGGGATATAAGGCCTCCGAGTGTCTCTGATGCGTTTGGTTGGGCGGGGTAATAGGAAGAAAGCTAAAACGAAAGCTCAACTGAGAATCTGATACACGATGAGAAGAGAGGGACAAATTGACTCACTATCCAATCAGAAAACCTACCCAGCCCCAGGAAGATTTCCCGAACAATAATCCAGTCCAGCACCCATCTCAAGAACCGGTACACTTGGGATCAAGGAATGCATCCCTGACTAAGTAGGCTCCTAGCCAGCGTTCTGCTGGTGAGTGCCCTGCGGGGGTTAGCGGGTTAATTCTAGGCAACGCCCCCCCATCCCCTCCAAGCGCCTGCGCGACGCCGCACCATAGAGCCCAGCGATCCTCCTGGGTTCCTAGAGCTGACGGTTGATGGCCGCTTACCTAGAGGGAGGCTTGAGAGCGAGCCGCGGACCGTCCCTACGAGGTACGCCGGAGGGTGCCGGGTGGAAGGCCCAAGTCGCCGGCGATTGCGCCGGACGGGCGCTTTCTCAATTCCAGGGCCGCTCCCTGGCACGGACACCCCAGTCGGTTCTTGGTACCCAGTCAGCGCTCGCTGGGCCTTGGATTAAACTAAATGAACGCTAGAAATTTGGGGGAGCTGGTAGAATCATGAAAGGCGTGTGAACCCGCGCGAGTCCGCCTGCCGAATCGCGAAAGACCTGTCTGAATTTGTGTGTTAGAAGCAGCTAAGGAAGGAAAGACATAGTGTACGTTCGGTGGTGTCATTTTTATGCAAGAGGAAGATAACATTTTCTTAAACGATAAGACGAATTCTAAAATTCTCTTCCTCCGTTGTCTTCCCAGTTACACTCTGTTTTGTTAGCACCGACTCTCACTTCTGTTTGAGTAGCTCTCAACTTGGAATGGGGAATATGCATCCAAGAGAGGTAATGCCACAGTCTTGGGCGGTGGAGAAGGGAGCTGAAAACGTCTAAGATAAAATTACTTGGAAATTAAAGGAGGTTTCGTTTTCTCCTTCTCCTTTTGCTAATTCAGAGGCTCTTTCTGGTTTTCTAGCCTCAGAAGGTATGTTTCTAGTCTGCAGAGTGATTGTCTTCTGAGAAGCTTGGTCTGCAGTTGCCTTCAGACCTGAGACCCTTAAGTAGGCAAGAAAATTGTCTGCGGGAAATGCTATTTCTTTATCTGTTCCCTGAGGTGTCCAGTTGCAACCTATGGAGAACGAATTCAATCATGAATCTCAAGGACATCACTTTCTGTCTGGTGAGTAGACCCAAATCCAGCTCTGCACATGATACCATTATATCCCTTATTGCCTACATGCACTGTTAGTACCATCTTTTAAGGACATCAGGCATAGACATGTGGGGTTGTTTCTAATTCAAGCAATCAGATTCTTATGCAGTTCTCTCTCTTTTTTAAGGTCCCAGAATTATCTGTTATTCCTTTTATCAATACCTTATAAATCTGTGAGCATTAGGTATGTTACCTTTGCAATCTTTTCAAATCATCTTTCTCATTTAATAGGGAATAATTAAAAGATTTTCAATCTGATGACCTGGATTCAGATTCTAGCACTATCATTTAATGTCTCCAGTAATTTACAGTTCTGTTCCTTCGCTTTGTAAGTGTATAATAGTTTATATCTGGAAGGTTATTGTGAGAAATTATGTCTGTTTCTCAAAACTTACTGACTTGATACATCAGAAAGTTTTCATCTGTCCTTTTTATGGTTGTATAGGTCATCAACTGGATCAGGGTTTAGGTGGGCAGGATTCTTCCTCCTGGTATTGTCTGGACTCACTTAGGCAGTCATCTTCTGGCTTGACTTAGACTGGGGTCTAAGTCTCAATCACAGGTGTGTGACTATTGGCTTGATTCGTCACCAGTGGGCTATACCAAACATTTTCCCAGGACACTTAATACCCAAAATCAGAGAGAAAGCTCTTTGAAACATGAACATTTTATGTACTTGGAATGGTTAAGTCTATTTTTATCTCATTGACCAATGCAAGTCACAGGGCCAGTTTCAGAGTGTTTGTGAAAGGAAACTGCACAAGGAGATTGACACTGAGAGATATGGTTCACTTGCCTGTCTCGCTACTATCAGAAAGACTACTCTTAGGGAGGCCCTCTGTGTAAAGCTATGAGTACTGATCTGGAGCATAGTAAACTCTTCATTTGTTCATTCATCCTTTCATTTTGTGGTACTGGGGACTGAGCCAAGGCTTCAGGCATGCTTTACACATGCTAGGCAGACACTACCAGAGTTACATCGCCAGCCCATTTTATTTTGCAATAGGGTCTTGTTGTGTTGTCCAGGTTGGCCTCAACTGTCATGCTCCTAACCCAGCCTCCCGAGTAACTAGGATTACAGGTGTGCGCTACGAAGTCTTGACTTCTAGTTAAGTGGAGCCACTATTAATAAAAAGTGTAAAAAGTGCCACTATTAATAGGAATAACACAATCTTCATCCTTATTTTGTTCAGATGCTTCCCAGGGTTTCGTTTCCACATCATATGCTACTTTTTGGATTTGGTCCTAACATTGCTGCTGTCATTTTGCATATGAGATGTTTGTTCCATTGTCTGTCTCTTTTAATATAGATCTACAGCTTTTTAGTCGTAGGGCAGCTTTATTATGTTTTATTTAGTTAGTTCATTTCCTGTAGCATAATTTTTCCTTCCTTAAGATCTGTTGTAACTAGGCTTAGTAGCTCATGCCTGTAAAGCCAGCACTCAGGGGTGAGGCAGGAAAATCTCCATGAGTTTGAGGCCACCCTGGCCTACATAGTGAGTTCAAGCCTAGACTGGATGACATAGTGAGGCTTCATCTCAAAAATACTGGGAAAAGGGGCCAGCGAGATGGCTCAGTAGAATAAGCACTGGCCTGGCAAGCACAAAGGCCTGAGTTCAATCCCCAGTTCTACCCCCCCCAAAAAAAAAACTGGGGGAAAAAAAAGCAGTCTCTTTCAAGTCATATGGCTTTCATTGTTTCTGTGAATCATTGTAGAACTGCAGCTTCTCCTTGCAATTTGACATAAGTTGATATGCTTACTCCATGTGATTAGGTGTCCTAGAATGTGTATGATGTCACATTTTTATTTATTTTTTTTTATTTTTTTTATTTTTTAAATTTATTTATTTATTTATCCATCTATCCATTTATGTGTGTGTGGCTAGCTCAGCCCACCAGGGGGCGCGGCTGGCTGGCATGTGGTGCTGGGGGATTGAACCGTGGTCCCTGTGCTTCAGGCAAGCTTGTTCCAAGTAGGTGCTTTAGACCACTGAGCCATCTCACCAGCCCAATGTCACATTTTTATTATAACGTCATGCAATTATGGTGTATTGCATTCGTATAGTATAGAAAATACAAAATTTAGGGGTGTCCAAATAGCAGAGTAGATTAAAGATCCTGCTTAGGCAGATGCAGTGGCCAGGGTTTGATCCCTGGCATGCCCTGCTAGCCCCTTCCCCGGGGTGCACTGAGAGGGTGATTGAGACTGAACATGGTGGCATGTGCCTGTAATCCCAGCTCTTTGGGAGGCTGAACACAGGCAGATCACTACTAGTCTGATCTACATAGTGAGACCCTGTAGACCCTTACTAAAAGATACAAAAAAAGAAAATACAAAATTTTAATAACCTGTAACTCCACCATCTAGAAATAATTATTTGAATATTAAATCTTCAAATCATTAATTCAATATGTAAATTAATTTATAAATTAGTTAAATGAATTAATAAAGTCATAGCTTATTAGCTATTATTAGTCATATAGTATTAGTTATTGAGATTCTACTCTGTGCCAGTATATGTAAGGGGCTTCAGCCCCTGTAGATTTTGGTTTCTAGGAGGGGTTTTGAAACTAATCCACTGTAGATTTTGAGGAATGACTGTACCTAGTGAGAACACAGTTGAAGGGTGACCAACATATCTGTTTGCTTGGTATTTAGCACTGGCAGTTGCACCTCAGAGTAACCCCTTCAGTTTTAGACAAGCTGAGACAGATGGTCACACTATTGTTCTTCCCTTATTATGGAAATCTAATTGTAAGCCAGAGGTCATGTAACCCCAGAATTCACAGCCACCCATATGAAGCCCTTGAGCACGGAGCACGGGGGCCTGGCCCTAGCTCAGGCCTTTAAGTGGCTGCTTCCACAAAGCTGTCAGCCTCAGGTTGCTGGAGTTCGAACCTCACACCTCTCCAGCTGGCCAAAAGTGCCCTGAAGGTATTCGAGAAACAAAAAAAAAAAAAGCCTTACGGGGGCCTGGCCCTAGCTCAGTCCTTTAAGTGGCTGCTTCCACAAAGCTGTCAGCCTCAGGTTGCTGGAGTTCGAACCTCACAACTCTCCCGCTGGCCAAAAGTGCCCTGAAGGCATTTAAGGAAAAAAAAAAAAAAAAAAAAAAACCCTTATTAGGGGGCCTGGCCATAGCTCAGTTCTTTAAGTGGCTGCTTCCACAAAGCTGTGAGCCTCAGGTTGCTGTAGTTCGACTCCCACAACACTCCAGCCAGACAAACCATGCCTGAGGGCATTCAGAGCAAAAAAAAACCCTTGAGCACGGAGCAGATGGAGAACAGATCTGGAGGAGTAAAAACATATCCAGGATAGACCACCCCTTCTGTCCTCCAGTACCTTTTTTCTTATTTGTTTTTTTCCCCCCTTTTCTTTATTTTTCTTTTCCTTTTTTCTTTCTTTTTCTTTTTCTTTTTGTATTTAGGACAGGGTGTACAGGGTCTTACTGCATAGATCGGACTCATAGTGATCCTCTTCCTGTTTACAACTTCCCAAGTGCTGGGATGACAAGCATGCACCACTATGCCCAGTCACAATGGCCGCCTCAGTGCGCCCTGGAGGTGGGGCCGGCATGGCAGGCCCTGGGATCGAGCTCCTGACCCCTGCATCTGCCTAAGCAGGTGCTTTAATCTAATCCGCTGAGCTATTTGGCTGACCCTTCTTTCCTTTGGAATAAGAGTAGATCCTTAAAGACAAGAGGGGTTTTGAGTGGGTTGCCAGTCCAGTGTCTACTTTTGTCCTTTTGATTTTTTACCTAAGTTGTGTTTGCAACACACAAAACCAAGTTCCTTAAGCTACCATTTTCTCACACGTTGACATATGATGAAATTGTATTTCTTCCTGAAACCCTCTAGGGTCCCTCACTTTAGCAGGAACAGAGTGAGCTGGGATAGGCAGGTAATACAAGGATAGTAGAAGTGAGGGCAGAGAAAAAGCCCAGATCAGAGGAAGTTTTATATGCTGGCATAAGGATTTGGAATTGCATTCTAGTGTAATGGGAAAACCTTATACAAGATATCTTTGTGTAAGTATACAAAACCCTATAGAAATAAAGATCGTTCTGCCTGGAATGTAAAGAACAGGAGAAAGATCAACTTAGAAGAAGAACCCAAGTATTTGGAGAACAAAGTAATAACTATTCAAATAAGTCTGGAATAAGTTTGAGAGTTTACCATTGGGTTTGTCAACAGAGAGCAATTAGTGATTGTATAAGTCCAATTTCAATTAAATTATTGAAATAACAGCTTAATTATAATGGATTAAAGAGAATTAATTCACTCAGGCTCGCGATGTATCTTAATGGTAGAGTTCTTGCCTAGCATGCAGGAGGTCTTAGGTTCAATCCCAGCACAATCACACACTCTCTCTGTCTCTGTCTCTGTCTCTCTCTCTGTCTCTCTCTGTCTCTCTCTCTCTCTCTCTGTCTCTCTCTCTCTCTCTCACACACACACACACACAGAGAAGAATAGAATTAGTGTTGATTAGAACATTCAAAACCAAGCAGTATGGGCTGGTGAGATGGCTCAGTGGTCTAAAGCACCCACTTAGAATCAAGCTAAGCTAAGCAAAGCACAGGGACCACGGTTCAATCCCCCAGCACCACATGCCAGCCAGCCCCGCCCCCTGGTGGGCTGAGCTGGCCACACACACACACAAAATAAATTATAAAAAAATAAAAATAAAGTAAAATAAAACATGTTTAAAAACAAAAAAAAACCAAGCAGTATTTTTCTTTAGAATCAGAAATTTAGTAAAGTTTTAAAGAAAAGCCAGAAGAGGATAAACACAAAAGTCAGTAATTGCATGAATAGGAAAAAAAAAGAGGTTGGAGGGAGACAAGAATAGACACAAGACAATCCCAGGGTATTGAAATTTTCTGGTTATTTTTTCTTTCCTAAGCTAAAGGAACATTCAATTTAATTTGATATATCTAACCACTATTCACATTTACATTTGTATATGCGTATTTTTCCTATATATAAAATTTTTAAGCACATTAAAATATATTGTAAATTTTTTCAAGGAAAATTGCTGAAAGGGAAACAAAAATGAAGGTCTAGAACTATGAAATTGACTAAGCTTAAGATTTTTTGTGTCATTCAAGTCTTAATGTGTTCTCACTGGTTATTTATTTATTTATTTATTTTGGCAGAATCAGGGATTGAACTCGGGCCCTTGCACTTGCCAGGCAAGTGCTTATCCTGCTGAGCTATCTCCCTGACCCTGGTTTTTTATTTAATCTGCTTTAATGAGGTACAGCTTATAGAAAATAAAATATTCCCTTTTTAATGGTGTTATTAAATGAGTTTTGACACATTCATATATCATATCCACTATTTTTTTATCGTTTTAGCATTTTTAATTAAAAGTTACACACAGGAGAACTTTATTCCTGCATCTTCTCAATCGTTTCTTCCTTGTATTTGCCCTTTTCCTTTCCTACTTGGCAAGACTTGGCTTTCCGTTCCAGGATCTTTTTGTGGTCTTTGTCCAGTTTTAGCCTGGTGATAACCACCTTACTGGGGTGAATGCCCATGTGGACAGTTGTGCCATTGTCTTTTTCCCACTGCACCCGTTCAATGTAGATGACATACTTCTTCCGGTAAACCTGAACTACTTTGCCAATCTGTTCACCTTTATAGTGTCCTCACACAACCTGAACTTCATCATCCTTTCAGATGGGCATAGAGCGAACATTATATTTTTGTCTCAGCTCTTTGGAAAGAGAAGAAGACATAATTTTCCTGCGAATGTGGGAAGGCGCATTGAAATGTCTTTTACGGTTTTTGCTTTGGTCTGAAGTCACAAAAGGATTAAACTTCATTTTGGCCGCTACAACTCCAGCGATGGTCGCAAAAGGCCATATCCACTATTATCACAATCCATACAACCTTTATATTTCCACTGCCTCCACTCAGAAAAATTATTTTATACACCACTTTTGTCCTATACTACCCCTAGGCCACCACTGATAAGCTTTCTATCACTATGAATTTTATTTCTTCTCTACAAGTTCATGAAAATGAAACCATGCCCTTTTTTTTTTGCCACACTTCTTTCATTCAACATGTTTTGATGTTTATCCATATTTTTTCTTTGTCTGTAATTCTTTTTTTTTTTTAATTTTATTTATTTGTGTGTGTGTGTGTGTGTGTGTGTGTGTGGCCAGCTCAGTCCACCAGGGGGCGGGGCTGGCTGGCATGTGGTGCTGGGGGATTGAACCGTGGTCCCTGTGCTTTGCTAAGCTTATTCTAAGTAGGTGCTTTAGACCACTGAGCCATCTCACCAGCCCTGTAATTCTTCTTTTGCTGAATATTGTTTTATTGTTTGACTATATCTCATTTTGCCTATAGATTCACCAGCTAGACATTTTTGTCTGTTTTATTAATAAAACTTCTTTGAACATTTGTAAAGTATGTTTTCATTCTTCTTGAATAAATAACTAGAATTCCTTGGTTGTATAGTAAGCTTATGCCTATCTTCATGAAAAGTTACCAGAGTTTTCTATAGTAGCTGTACTGTTTTGCATTTCCATTAGCAGTGTATGAAAGTTTCAGTTGCTTCAGACGTTGTCAGTATTTAACTATTAACTGTTTTATTGTCATTCTTTTTAATTTTAGTCTTTCTGAGAAATATTTGCCAGTACTGTGTGGTTTAATTTACATTTCCCTAATATCTTGCAATGTTTAGCATTTTCTTACGTGCTTATTGATGATCCATATAATTTCTTTTGTGAACTCTCTATTTTAATCTTTTGCTTTTATTGAGTCATGATCGTATTTTTAAGTTGTAAAAGTCCTTTTTCAGTTGTGGACACAAATTCATTGTCAGATATGTATTTGGTGAATATTTTCTTCTAGTCTGTTTCATCACTTTTGTTTTGTGTTTTATGTTAGTAATGAATGTCTTTTGAAGAGGTTTATAATTTTGATGATTTTTAAAAATTTTATGATTAATGCTTTTGGTGTACTATCTAAAATCACCACTACCTCCCAACCCATGAAGAGAGTCATCTGTGCTTTCTTTTAGATGTTTTCTACTTTAGTTCTCATATTTGGGTTTATTCGACTTTGATAGTTTTAATGTGTGCTAGGTTTCTAGTTAATCTTTGTTGGTAATACCAGAAAAAAGTCATAGCTTGTTTTTATCATTAGGATACATAGTTCCAACATTTTTTTCTTTTTTTTTTTTTTTTTTTTTTGAGTTTTGAGAAGCGGCCATTGACTTATCATGGAATTCTTGTTGAAGATCATTTATACATATGTTTTTGCATCTGTTTCTGGCCACTGTTCTATTCCA